GGGAATGTATTATTCACATTTTTGGTTCATCTCAGACCAGGGAAGGTTTCTGCAAAATTTCACTGAAATCAGATCAAGAGTTTTTGAGAAGTCAAAAAATGTTAAATTGTTTACGAATGCACTATGCTGGATGAAGGTGATCACAATAGGTTACCATGAGACTTTGTCTAAGCTATGGTGACCTAAAAATCAAACAGCTAAAAAGATAAGTACAATTTTCTGCTTCCTTTGCCTATCTTTCACAGATAAACTTGCTATGTGTTTATACAATATTTTGACTGATATAATAAAGCAGCTCATTAAATAGCTTTTGGTAGATAACTACAAAGTGCCTAATCTGATCATCTGTTACTGTCTTAAATCGCTTAGTAACAGAATGATTTAGGCCTAGATTTGACTGAGTGATGGGTGGTGACATGATTTGAGTAGCTGGCATCTCGGGTCTTGACAGATTTTCATATGCAGGGGTTTTCAGTAATTTGTTGACTTCTGCAACAATAACTGGGTCAGAGACAGAGGAGATGTCGGCGGCCACAAGGGCCCCCAACAACTCTTCATCGGCATTATCATCTTGCACAGACTCATGACTGTCGGAATTACCAGGGCTGAGTAAAATCTCTGGTAACTGGACACCAAATTCTCTTAACTCGGTTGGCTCTATATCGGAAGAAATATCTGAGCTGTCGCTGTGATCACCCATGATTGAGCAGACAACTGATTATAGATACAGCAGCTGCAACTGTATTAAATCTTTGTTCAATATTGAGGATATACAGATTATATGATGTTAAAAAGTATAAAAGCAACACAAACAATCAGAAAAATATTTTTAATGATGTTATCACACACAGGTATTGTCTCGTACCTACGTGACCTAAAAACGTGTAGACGGTTTAAAAATAGATCGCAAGAGTAAACAATGTATTCCTACGCTGACAGAAAGTGATTCGCCGCTCAAAAAAAAAGCACGCGACCCACTTCTTTCATTGGGAAATGCAACGAAGTGACATTACTAGTTTCATTGAGGCGGAGTGAAGTCAAAATGTAAATATTGCCAGGTGATGTAACAATATCGTACTTGCATACCAAACAGAATCAATTAATAAAAGTCTTTACAGTCAATACATCAAAGTCTACCTTAAGTCTTAGCACCTATTCTCGAAACCCAGAAGGATCTTGGGTGACTATCACTGTTTGGTTACAACTTTTCTATTCTTTTCTCTGTATTTTTTAATTAAATTTAAGTGTGTCAATGTCATTCATATTAACAAAGTTGGTAGCTCTCCATCCTAGCATGCTACAGGCCAAATATCAGTAACCTGGTTCTTTTGATTAATAAGAAGTCATTTATACATTTCAACATATTTGGTCCCTATGACCTTGAAAGTAAAAATAAGCATCCTGGGCCTTTTGGTCTTTGAGAAGAAGTCATTAAAAGATTTTGACATACTTGACCTCTATAACCTTGAAAGCAGGTCAAGTTACTCATATCAACAAACTTGGTAGCCCTTTTTACCATCAAGCTACAGACCCAATATCAAAACCCTGGGACTTTTGGTTTTTGAGAAGTAATTTGAATGGACAGATGATGACAGACCAAATATGATGGCTATGGATCATCCGGACCCTTTGGGTCAGATGACATAACGAAAAAAAAAAAAAAAAATGGGCCGCATTGCTCACCTGGTATATACATACCAGTCAAATATCTTGCCTCTAGGCCTGTTTGTTCATGAGTATAAGCTGTTTTAATGTTTTCAACTAATTTGACCTCTGTGACCTTCATTAAAGTCATGATAATTTCTTTTCGCAAACTTTGCCAGGCTTCATTCTAGGAATATACCAGCTAAATATCAAAACATTTGGTCCATTTATTATTGAGAAGAAGCTGTTGACACCAGGTGAGCTAATAAAAGATTTGGTGACCTCAACCACCGCTTATCATTACTTGGAAAAAATAAATCAACATTGTAAATCACACTACAAAAGCACCCTATCTATTCCTGGTAAGAAAAACATTTCAACAATTCAACAAATTACCTTCACACACAGAAAGTATTCCAGCTGTTATTATGTTAATAACACAAATAGAATAACTACTACAAATAATTCAAAAACAATAGCACAGAGTACAAAACCACACACTAAAGAACTGTTATATAAGTATGTTGTAACCAATAATTATCGTAAACATCATACATGTCAATTTTAAATGCATGACTGATTAAGCATAAAGCTTGACAATATGACAAAAGAACAGTGCAGGCAGAGGTATGTAGATTGATCATTAAATACGTATTGAAAAACCTATCCATGACTGCTCCAAGTGACAATCGGAATACACAAATCCTGTGTCCACACATTACTGGTACATTATACGGTAAGTAATTCTTGTATCTATTATAAAATATCTGCTGAAAAGAAGAGTGCAGGCAGTGGTATGTAGATTGATCATTAAATACGTATTGAAAAACCTATCCATGACTGCTCCAAGTGACTATCAGAATACACAAATCCTGTGTCCACACATTACTGGTACATTATATGGTAAGTAATTCATGTATCTATTATAAAATATCTGCTGAAAGCAATAATAGTAAAAGTATTTCATAAACAGTATACATTTTTTTTCCTCTTTGATTTTGTTCTCAATATAAAACAGCATTTCAAGTAATGACAATTATCATTGTGGTAGCTAAAATTGTTTTTTATAAGTTTGAAATATTTCTAATGGATATAAACAAATTATGCTCAAAAATCTATTTTTCCTATATAAAATATAGTAAAACTTTTCCCCCTCTCTACGGGGAAATGTGAAATCCTGGAGCAATGAAATTCAAAATTTCATTAAAGCATGCAGTGTATTTGACTCCTCCATATCTGGGTGTTGAGAAGAAGATTTTTGAATCAGAAGTCAATTTGACCCCTTTTGGCCCCGCCTTTCAGCCTCTGGGGTCAGCAAGGATCAATAAAGACAAACCATTAAGCTGTCATCCTTCACTCATAGTTTTAACCAAGTCTGAAATACTTCCAATGGAAATTAAACAAATTACGCTCAAAATTTTTTTCCTATATAAACTATGATAAACTTTACATCCTCCTCACTGGGAAATGTGAGACTTTGGGGCCATGAAATTCACAATTTTGGTAAAGCATCTTAAGATGTTTCCATTCATGAAGAATATTTGATTCTACCATATCGGAAAGTTGAGAAGAAGATTTTTGAAATCCGAGTCAATTTGACCCCTTTTGGCCCCGCACCTTAGCCCCTGTGGGGTGGGGAATGTATTATTCACATTTTTGGTTCATCTCAGACCAGGGAAGGTTTCTGCAAAATTTCACTGAAATCAGATCAAGAGTTTTTGAGAAGTCAAAAAATGTTAAATTGTTTACGAATGCACTATGCTGGATGAAGGTGATCACAATAGGTTACCATGAGACTTTGTCTAAGCTATGGTGACCTAAAAATCAAACAGCTAAAAAGATAAGTACAATTTTCTGCTTCCTTTGCCTATCTTTCACAGATAAACTTGCTATGTGTTTATACAATATTTTGACTGATATAATAAAGCAGCTCATTAAATAGCTTTTGGTAGATAACTACAAAGTGCCTAATCTGATCATCTGTTACTGTCTTAAATCGCTTAGTAACAGAATGATTTAGGCCTAGATTTGACTGAGTGATGGGTGGTGACATGATTTGAGTAGCTGGCATCTCGGGTCTTGACAGATTTTCATATGCAGGGGTTTTCAGTAATTTGTTGACTTCTGCAACAATAACTGGGTCAGAGACAGAGGAGATGTCGGCGGCCACAAGGGCCCCCAACAACTCTTCATCGGCATTATCATCTTGCACAGACTCATGACTGTCGGAATTACCAGGGCTGAGTAAAATCTCTGGTAACTGGACACCAAATTCTCTTAACTCGGTTGGCTCTATATCGGAAGAAATATCTGAGCTGTCGCTGTGATCACCCATGATTGAGCAGACAACTGATTATAGATACAGCAGCTGCAACTGTATTAAATCTTTGTTCAATATTGAGGATATACAGATTATATGATGTTAAAAAGTATAAAAGCAACACAAACAATCAGAAAAATATTTTTAATGATGTTATCACACACAGGTATTGTCTCGTACCTACGTGACCTAAAAACGTGTAGACGGTTTAAAAATAGATCGCAAGAGTAAACAATGTATTCCTACGCTGACAGAAAGTGATTCGCCGCTCAAAAAAAAAGCACGCGACCCACTTCTTTCATTGGGAAATGCAACGAAGTGACATTACTAGTTTCATTGAGGCGGAGTGAAGTCAAAATGTAAATATTGCCAGGTGATGTAACAATATCGTACTTGCATACCAAACAGAATCAATTAATAAAAGTCTTTACAGTCAATACATCAAAGTCTACCTTAAGTCTTAGCACCTATTCTCGAAACCCAGAAGGATCTTGGGTGACTATCACTGTTTGGTCACAACTTTTCCATTCTTTCCTCTGTATTTTTTAATCAAATTTATGAAATTTCAAAATTCTGCTTAAGAAATAGTAATAATGAATTAAGAATCTTTAAGTGCTGAATCCAAGATGGTCATATGTCTGCCATTTTGTTTCTAATCAGACCCAAAATAAAACAGCACAAATAGGAACCAAGAGAAGACTGCTTGGATACTTAAGAATAATCCACCCAGTACATCTGTTAGCCATTTTGTTTTTCAGATCAGCTTCTCCATTTACAAAATTTTGAATCTCATTTACAGCAATATAACCAAATTTCCCCCTTCTTGACCTGTCCCTTAGCCCATTATTTGTTATTTAAATTTGAATCCTTATCACCTTAATAAGTTCCCAGTCAAATTAATTTGAATTCCATTTGGTGGCAAAAAAGATGTAGTTTGAAGACTTTGTTGACATGCAGATATCAGATGGATGGCAGACTGATACCACAGTATCGCAAAAATTGCGACTGGGCAAGCGAACAAGAATTAGTTCCTTACCTTAAGTTCTTTTGTTTGTGGTTGCGTACTTGGTCAAGGAATACTGAGAAGAGGATATCAAGATCCCGTGGCCCTCCCATGTGTTCAGGATGAAACTGTGTACTGCAAAAAAATAACGACAAATGTGTTTATCAGTTTGTTAAACAAGAGTTGAACTTAATTTTTTGCTTTGATTTAACTTTTGGCGTAAGAAATTTTTTGCTTTAAATTAATTTTTAGCTTAAGTAACAATGCACTATTGTATGTGTTCTTTCTTTTTTTTCTGCTCCTAATTCATACTTATAGTTAATATACATTAAACTCTGGTGATCAATTTCAGACAAATCAGACGAATACTTTTCCATCTGACAAAAATACCCTTTTTGTCAATTAAATCACAGTCGGCCTTCTTTTAAATGAAGAACTGGTGAGGGCATTGAACTTTAAATCCTTATCTATTCTTCACTGGTTTATGATTTATCATTTTAGTGTGATCAGGACAATATTGCATTTCTGGCCTTGATCTTTAACCAGCTTAGAGAGAAACACATAAGCAATAGGCTCAAGTACCCAAAATCTATAATAGTCTTTGACTAAGGGGACAGGAGTGGAAATATTAGTGTAAACTAAATTTGAGGTTTTTTTAATGTAAAACCAATTTTCATGAGGTAATACTTACCATAACTTTAGTATGCAAAATATGGTACCTACACCCATCTTTGTATACCAAAAACAAAAGATTCAAAAATCCCGCCCTCCCTACGACCATGAGCCTTCACGTCATGAACATAGAGTTATTTCCCTTCCTCTTAGCCTTTATGTAGCACCCGTAGAGGGGCAGTCAGGCAGATAGGAAGAGGGGAGGATAGGGTGGGACTCCATAAAGTTATGGTAAGTATTACCTCATGAAAATTGGTTTTACATTAAAAAACCTCAATTTCATTTCAGTAATAATTACCATAACTTTAGTATGCGAATTCGTCTTACCGTAGTGGTGACTAGCAGCCAGGCAGCCCATCTAGCACACTAAACATGGTAGGGAGGGGGGACAGAGTGCATAGAATAAGGAGGGGCAACCTCCCCGTGACCGAGCAGGTAACCCACGTGCCGCCGAACGGAAAAGACGAGCCCCGGGGCTAACGGGGGGGGCACAGCCACAGACTGTGCAACCACCAGAGGTCCCAAAGAATACAAACCTTCTGAGTGGGAAGCCAGGGATCTCAGATAAAAATCTGTAAATGTATCCCTGCCCCGCCAGAAGGCAGCAGACATGACCTCCTGAAAGGAGGACCCATTAAGAAGGGCCCAGGATGCAGCGAGGGCCCTTACCTCATGAGCCCACACTCTCACCCTCGCCCGAGCCTGGTCATCAGAATGCTCATAAGCATACTTAATGACCTGGCATACCCACCAGGAGGAGATGTCTCGCTGTCCCTGTTTGATAGGCAAAAACAGACGGGATCTGGAGCCCCCCTAGCTGCCGAACTCTGGGTCTATCCAAAGCGAAGCCTCTGATTAGGGCAGAAAGAGATGAGGAAGAACCTATCTCCTTCCTGACACCGACTGGGAGGAGATGTCTCGCTGTCCCTGTTTGATAGGCAAAAACAGACGGGATCTGGCGCCTGGAGAGGGTATCAACCAACACATTCAACCTGCCCGGAAGATGCTTGACCGTAATGGACAATTGCATCTCCTGACAGAGAAGAAGGATGCGGATGGAGAGGGCACACAGGACGTGAGACCTGGTGCCCCCTTGTCTCTCCAGATACGCGACAACTGTAGAGTTGTCGGTAGCCACACAAATCGCCTTGGACTGCAGGAATCCCCGAAAGGATTGCAGTGCCAAAAGAACTGCCCTCATCTCGAGCACGTTGATGTGCTCCGAGAGCTGATCCCCAGACCACTCCCCCGAGCGACAATGGCCGTCGAGGTAAGCTCCCCATCCTGTCATGGAAGCATCCGTGAACAGGGTCATAGAGGGGACAGGCTTGGTCAGAGGAACCCCGCGGAGAACATTCTCCCGAATGGTCCACCAGCAAGCGAACTCCCTGACCGACTGAGTGAGAGTTATCCAGGCCTCCCACTTCCTGGATGACGGAACCCAGTTGGACAGGAGGAACATCTGTAGAGGTCTGATGTGAAGTCTCCCTAGGGGGACCACATCTGCCAGGGCGTTGAGATACCCCAGAAAACTGAGGAACCAACGTACCTGGACCTGCGACCGTTCGATGAAGGACAGAGCTAGAGCCCTGGCCTTCTCGAACTTCTCCACCGGTGGTAGGGCTATGCCCAGAACGTATCGAAACGATTCCCCAGGAAGACAAAGTCCTGAGATGGGGAAACCTCTGACTTCTCTCTGGAAGGAATGAAGCCGACTCTGAGTAAGACTTTCAGGACCAGCCTGGTATCCTTCACTAACGATTCCCTCACCCTGTGAAGCATGAGGGAGTCGTCGAAATAGATGTGGACGTCTATTCCGCGAGAGTGAAGGAATCCCACGACTACCTGCAGCAGCTTGGTGAACACCAAGGGAGCTGTCGTCAGCCCGAAGGGCATGGCCCGGAATTGGAAGACCTTGCCGTTGCACGTGAAACGGAGGAACTTCCGTGCCGACTTCTTGATGGGGATATGGAAATAGGCGTCCTTCAGATCTACTGAAGTTGCCCACATCCCGTCCCTCACGGAGGCCATGATGCCCCGTGGGGTCTCCATCTTGAAGTGAGGAGAACCTACTTGCCTGTTGAAGGCACTGAGATCTATGATCGGGCGCCACTCTCAGGACTTCTTCCGAACGAGAAACATTCGGGAGTAGAAGCCGGGAGTGATTTCCGACATAGGAATCTCCTCTACCGCGCCCTTGGCAAGCAAGGTCCTTACTTCCTCCTGGATCGCCCGAGCCTTCTCCAAATCCCCCGGAGGAGGAAAGAAGATCGGCTGGGCGGTAAGAGGCGGATCCTGAAGAAGGGGAATACCTAGACCCTCCTTGACCACTGACAACGTCCACGCGTCCTCCGTAATTTCCTGCCACTGGGACAGGAAAGCGGAGAGATGCCCGCCCAAAGGAAGCTCCGGCTGGGGCAGATCGAGTCCCTGCCAAAACAGAGTTTCGTCCGCCCATCCGGAGCCTGAGCCTGCGGGAGAAGGACAAGAGACCTGAACGGGAGGACCGCCGTCCACCCCGCCAGACCCCTGTTCTGTCTCGGTCAAGGAGAAGAAAGAGTCAGGAGCCCTTCTTCTTGCCCCCAGGAGGTTTCTTACCCTTCTTACCTTTCCCCTTATTGAAGTGTGGCTGCAATTTGGGTTGGGCAGACGCGCTGACCCCTGCGAGGTGCTGGCCTTCTCGGAACGAAACCTCTTCACCAAGAGTGCTGAGGCGACGGAGTCCTCCTTCATATCCTTCTGGACAGAAGGAAGAGCTCCCCCGAACAGGGTAGAGCCAGTGAAGGGGGCAGTCAATAGACGGGAAAGATAAGGTTCTTCGACTGGGCGATTTTTTAAGATAGAAAATCGCCTAGCCAAAACGACATTGGCGAGCAGGGAGACCTGTAAGGCCGCCGATGCCCTCAACGCCGCGTTCAGGGCAGCTGTAAGCCTGTCCTGAATGTCGGCCTGTTCCGTCTCTGGTACCCGACCCTCAGGCAAGTCGGATACCTTGTATAGACTCACAGTCAGGAAGTCTATGTAAGGCAGAACTTGGATGGAAAGGCGCAACATCCTCTCCATCCTGTGGTGCTCTCTAGCATCGAGCACCACCTGGTCCACCGATTTGCCGGGCCAGGCAGCCAACTCCCTCGACTCCAGCTTTGCTGGTTGAGGGGCCAGTTGCCCGTCATGTGTAGCGTAGTCAGCGGTAGAAGCCTCTGACAAATCGCCAACACCGAGCTGCAAACCGGCAAACCTGGGGGTGCGGGTAGATGAAGAATTCTTCTCCAAAACCCGTGCCCGGGAGGTGGCCAGAGCCGAAGACACAATGGTGCCTTCTGGCAGAGTCCGATCAGTACGAACGGAAGCCCGAGGAGCCACCAAAGAACCTAGAAGGGTGGTGGACTCGGGCACCGACGATGCAGAAGGGGGTGGGCATACCTCCGCTCCGAGAATCCGAGAAATGTCAGCCCGTAGGGCCCGCATCCCCGAAAGAACATGCTGAGCCTCGGTTTCAGCAATCTCGGAGCCCCCTACCTCCTGGGAACCCTCCTGGTCGGAAGGGTCATCTGCCGATGACTCGGACTGATCAATCGCCGAGCACCCAGGAGACAGATGGATAACATCGTCATCCTCTGCCAAGCCCACGCACTCAGCGTCCATCTCCTCCTCGCTAAGTCGCCCTGGGAGGAACAGGGGCCGCCAGAGGAGACCTCTCCGGAGAGGGGGACTCCTCTATACGGCGTTTAGACGTAGAACGTCTAACAGCCGAAGCTGTAGGCTTAGAAGCCAACCCCTGAGGACAGGAGACCGACGAGTCCGCGCGGGAGGCGGAAGTCCTAAAGGTCCGGCAAACCTTTTTAGGACCGGCCGAAACGGCCCCCGAAGTAGCAGAGCGTTAGGGGGATTCAGCACTGCTAAAACGTCTCCTAGAGGGAGAGACCATACCCCAAGGGTTCCATGAAGGAAGACCCATGGGGTTGAACCCAAACCCCTGAGGGAATGGGAACAGTCCCGCGGGCTGGGAGTGACCCCAGAACTGGCCAAATTGGCCTGCCTGAGCCTGGGGCTGGACACCCTGTCCAAAGGACCAGGATGAACCTCCACTCCCACCAGGTGGAAACCCAGCCATGTACGGGCCGAGCCCGTAACCGCTGGGTAACTGTTGGTACCCATGACCATCCGCAGGTTGGCCTGGGCGGCCCGGGATTGAGTGCCCGCAGGCACCCCTACACCCCGAGCCCGGGGGAAAAGGCGACCAGAAACCGGAAGCCTGACCTGGGGCCCCAGATCCCTGGGGGAAACCCCCTGGGAAACCCTGCACCGGAAAATCTGGACTAGAGCGAAAAGCCCCAGATCCAGAGACCTGTGAGTGTAGGAACCCAGGCCCCGCACTGACACTAGGATTAGTGAACTCAGTGTCACTAATCCCCGTAGCCACTGACAACCCTGACAAAAAATCAGTGACCCCTGACCCCATACCCGAGGGTACCGGTCCGGCGTCAGGGCGGCCCCCACCAACGACGCCACCTGGCGTGCCGAGGTCCCTGAAAGACTCAGAGACCTGTGACTGGAAGTCCCTTTCCGACGGTAGCACCGCCGGCTGTCGAGAGCTACCGGCCGATTTGACCCTAGACTTCGCCGAGTCAGGGTCGGGTTGCTCCCCCCCCTATACCAGGACGCGCCTGGACAGGGGGAGCCACCCCCTGCTCGAGGGCGGAGCTCAGTGTGAGAACACCCCCAGCAGTGACAACCTCACCCCTCGGCTCAGGGCCGGGGGTAGAAAACCTGGATGGCTTACCTCTCTTACCGGAAGATGAGGACGAATCCCTCTTCCGGCGAGAAGTTCGCCGACTGGGTAGGGGAACCTTTACAGCGGACCCGGCGTGCAAACAAAGTTCGCACGGCGAGGCCTCGCTGCAAGGCCGGCATAAGGGACAGGCATCATGGGGGTCCTGCTCTCCGTAGAAGTGAGAACACCCATGTGCCGAACCACGACGCAGCCCTGAATCCATAATTGTTACGAAATAAATAATCAAATAACAACAGTTATTAATACAAATAAACGTAACAAAAATAAATGGAGTGAAAAAACACAACTCCAACAAACAAATACGAACGAAAGCAAAAGGTAACGAAATGTAAAAAAGCTAAGCAAAATATACAGTCGAATAAATAATACGACCAATAAAAAGCGAAAAAACTTCACGAAAAAAACCGAACAGCGCAAAACACGTGGATACGCGCTCACTGCGTGGAGTATAGCAAATGGCCGAACAAAGGCCGAACAAAAACCGGCCGATAAAGGCCTAAAAGCAGGATATATTAACTAAATAAACGTCTGCAAAAGACTGTTATAGTTAACGATGGGTTTAAAGCAATAAGCCGATATATAAATACTCGGCTATAAGCTAGACTTAAGCTAGAAAGAAAAGGAAGGCACTCAGCTGAATATAGCACGTCCGCCCGCTCCGGTAGCCATAAAGATAAGAGGAAGGGAAATAACTCTATGTTCATGACGTGAAGGCTCATGGTCGTAGGGAGGGCGGTATTTTTGAATCTTTTGTTTTTGGGATACAAAGATGGGTGTAGGTACCATATTTTGCATACTAAAGTTATGGTAATTATTACTGAAATGAAAATTCGTTTGCAGTTCTGTACATCTGAAACAGAAATGGGATGGGCTTATTTCCCAGCATGGGCTTATTACTGGGTAGATGAGGTAACCAAATTAATGTTTTGTCCACATATAAGTTGCACCATTATATAAGCTGCACATCCAGTTCACGAGGAAAAAAGCTGTGGCTTAAAACCCAGATAATATAGTATATTATCATTATCATTACTGACCATGTCTTGTGCCACACCTGCTAACCATTAAAATCATATTTACACGGAAAACTTATTTGTTTTCCTCCTTAAGAATTTACCTGAAGAAAGGCTTGGTGTTGTGTACGATGCCTTCATTAGTTTTATCATTGGCATTGGTGAAGAGAGAAGACCAGCCTGGAGCTAAAGTTGATTCATCTACTGCAAACCCATGGTTCTGTGTGGTAATAAAACAACGAATGGCTCTCTGATGATCATATTTACAAGGCTGGTTATGGCCCCTGTTTCCATACCTACAAAATAAAGAAGTACATATGATATATAAACATTTTCCAAAACTAGGCACATTAGACAGTATTTGTGTTTTATTTCTCTGCAGTACACAGAGCTGTTTCTATCCACTAGGGGTATTTCTAATCATATTTACCAACAATAACCCAACCCATTTTTTCTTTTTCTTTTGAGGGGCCACATTTACCCACAAAAGCTCTTTCATTGTCTCATAGTAAGCCCACTCGTGAACCTTAGAAATTGAAACCACCTTTAGTGTTGTGTTTGTGTCCTTAGACAATACTCTTTATCCCTATTGCCCTGAATGGCATGCAACCAACACCTTGTATACTGTTTAGTACAATAGCCACCAGCTTTGATAAGAAGACCCTACCTCTAAAAGACCAAGCATTGTCAGAACAATGATGTTTGTTGGCGAGACATTCCTCCATTTTATTCTTTCTAGTAAGAATCAGAACTTATCAACAAATGAAATAATCTTTTTTTTTTTTTCCAGAAAATTATCAACAAAAATAGATGCATTTTGAAGAATGGAGGGAAGAAATCTGTTGGTTTAGACAATGAGGTTAAATCAAGGTCAGTATTAGAATCGTAACAACATGGATAATACCGCAGTCAAAAGACACAACTAGGGGTACTTTGTTGTCAACAACGTGGACAATACCGCAGTCAAAAGACACAACTAGGGGTACTTTGTTGTCAACAGCGTGGATAATACCACAGTCAAAAGACACAACTAGGGGTACTTTGTTGTCAACAAGGTGGATAATACTGCAGTGAAAAGACACAACTAGGGGTACTTTGTTGTCAACAACGTGGATAATACTGCAGTCAAAAGACACAACAAGGGGTACTTTGTTGTCTGTGCATAATACCGCAGTCAAAAGACACAACTAGATGTACTTTGTTGTCTGTGCATAATACCGCAGTCAAAAGACACAATTAGGGGTACTTTGTTGTCAACAACGTGGATAATACCGCAGTCAAAAGACACAACTAGGGGTACTTTGTTGTCAACAACGTGGATAATACCGCAGTCAAAAGACACAACTAGGGGTACTTTGTTGTCAACAACGTGGACAATACCGCAGTCAAAAGACACAACTAGGGGTACTTTGTTGTCAACAGCGTGGATAATACCGCAGTGAAAAGACACAACTAGGGGTACTTTGTTGTCAACAGCATGGATAATACCGCAGTCAAAAGACACAACTAGGGGTACTTTGTTGTCAACAACGTGGATAATACTGCAGTCAAAAGACACAACTAAGGGTACTTTGTTGTCTGTGCATAATACCGCAGTCAAAAGACACAACTAGGGGTACTTTGTTGTCATCAGCGTGGATAATACCACAGTCATAAGACACAACTAGGGGTACTTTATTGTCAACAGCGTGGATAATACCGCAGTCAAAAGACACAACTAAGGGTACTTTGTTGTCTGTGCATAATACCGCAGTCAAAAGACACAACTAGGGGTACTTTGTTGTCATCAGCGTGGATAATACCGCAGTCAAAAGACACAACTAGGGGTACTTTATTGTCAACAGCGTGGATAATACCGCAGTCAAAAGACACAACTAAGGGTACTTTGTTGTCTGTGCATAATACCGCAGTCAAAAGACACAACTAGGGGTACTTTGTTGTCATCAGCGTGGATAATACCGCAGTCAAAAGACACAACTAGGGGTACTTTGTTGTCATCAGCGTGGATAATACAGCAATCAAAAGACACAACTAGGGGTACTTTATTGTCAACAACGTGGATAATACCGCAGTCAAAAGACACAACTAGGGGTACTTTATTGTCAACAGCGTGGATAATACCGCAGTCAAAAGACACAACTAGGGGTACTTTGTTGTCAACAGCGTGGATAATACTGCAGTCAAAAGACACAACTAGGGGTACTTTATTGTCTGTGCATAGTACCGCAGTCAAAAGACACAACTAGGGGTACTTCATTGTCTGTGCATAATACCGCAGTGAAAAGACACAACTAGGGGTACTCTGTTGTCAACAATGTGGGTAATACTGCAGTGAAAAAACACAAGGTTGGTTACAGCTGCACACACTATGTTTTCTATAAAAAGGTCAAAAAGGTCAAAAAGACAAGTGACTCAACCTAAGAGATTCAATTCAAATGATTTTGTTTTGGAGAATAAGGTAAAGACAGAAGCAAAGAGGCTGAATTCAAATAAATGTATTCTGAAGAAAAAAGTAAAAAGGCCTGCAAAAACTATTCAGGTGAACAAAGGAGGGGATTACAAATATGTTTCTAGCAGACAAACATGTCCTACAGAAGAACAGCAACAATTGTCTCAAAACACCAATCCACTAGACTTTGATGACAGATCAGCCAACGAACATATGGCATTAACTACTGCAGTAAAAAACAAGTATTCTATTTTATCCACAATGTCTGGAGCATGTCTTGAAAGTGGTAAAGCCGACCAACACATGTCAGAGAACTCAAAAATGAGTGACCCAACAGATAGTGCAAGCAACTATCCTGGTGACATGGAAAATATAAAATCATCACAGCTTTGTCTGGTGCAGGGTGATCACCAAGATGATGTTGAGGAAACTGACAATTTTTCTCAGCCAACACCAGTTGATGAATCTGGTAAATGCCAGAAGGATTGTGACCAAGACAGCATTGCTTCTACTGAAAACAGCTTTATGTCATTACAGCGGGACAGCTTACCACAATCTACCAAAGATTTAGATGATCAACCAAATGATCAAATATCCTTTGATCTAAATATCACAGAAGATTTTGATGACCAGTCTGTACTAGAAGAGCATTCTAACAATGATTTAGTAGAATCATCAAGTGTGCAGTTGTATCAAACAATGACAAAACGCCCACGACTTAACTTACATGATGATGAAAGTTCAGAGGAAATCATGGAACCTACCAAGTCAAAAAATGAAATTCCAGCATCTTTCACCATATCGCTAACTAAAGCCGAATGGAAAACTATTAAACCAAAGAAAAAAGACCCAAATAGAAAACTATGTTCTTCCTGGACAGATCTTTTCTCTGAGAAGATGGCAGATGGTGAAATACCCTGTGTACTTCAATTTTACTACAACCGTATTAAGAGACCCGACAGCCGGAAAATCAATGCCAGGTATTTTCATGGCAAAGCCAAGTGTAAGTTTGAGACATGCACATGGTATACATTTGAGATATCTGAAAAGCCAGTAAAAGTTTCCAAGAATGGAGTGACTATCAAGGTCAAGAAACATGGTGAGATCAAGCATCCACGCTTTCAAATCAAAAGGAGACAACTCCGTGGAGAAAGACGACAGCAATACAAACAGAAGCTCAAGACCACTGCCCCATCTAATCTCCACTACGAGTTGCTTGAAAAACTCAGCCAGTCTCAGTTTGATGGTGGAAATCACACAATACCTTCCACAAAACATGTGTTGAGACAAATAAAATATGAAATGAAGAAGGAGGATTACCTTCACGAAGATGAGTGGAAAGAGGTTGTGCTGACCAGTCAGATTCTGCGAGAATGTGACCAGGACAGTAACAGTGTGCTGGGCTACATTCAACTTCTGTCTTATCAGCCTTTCATCACCATATGCTTTACGGAGACACAACTTCGGCTCTACATCAAGCAGAAGAAGCTGGCGAGAGGTGTTCTTCATTTAGATGCCACAGGGTCCTTGGTGAAAAAGCAGCAAGGTTCTGAAAAACCGGTTTATTACTATGCTGCTGTTTTGAAAAACAACAAGCCCAAGGAACCACCCATGCCAATTGCAGAAATGTTCACCAATGAGCATACAACAACTATCATATCGCTCTTTCTAGGGAAGTTGAAACAGGATCTGATGACCATAAGCACTTCATGGCATAGTGTCCAGCCAACCAGGATAGAGGTAGATTTTTCTTGGCCACTCATCAACTCAATCCTAGTGGTTTGTAACCAAGAAAACATCCATGCCTACCTCTCACGTGCATGGGAAATAGCTACAAAATCAAAAGCAGTTTCCAAATTTACCAAGGTCCATTTGTGTTCTGCTCATTTGGTCAAACGTGTGCATGACAGACTAGGTCATGCAACCTCAGACAAAGGACTTGCTGATTTTTGTACATTTGCCTTTGCTCTGCTACAGAATTCTTTTGAGTTGCGACAAGCCAAATCCATTTATGTCTCTTTGTGCACTATTCTTGATACTGAATATGAAACAACACCAGTGAAGGAAGCCATTGCCAAAATTGAACAGCAAATTATTGACCAGAAAACTGAAATCCCAAACTCAGTACATACATGTCCGCAAGAAGTCAATCATGACCATCACCATGAAAATTCCACATCAACAATCAAAGCATTGTCTCCCTTCAACAAGTTCTTTGAAAACGTGAAAAAAAATGCACAAACCAATTCAGAACACACTTGCCAAACAAGGAACAAATACTTTAACAAGGAAGCACTGGCAATAATAGAATCTTACCTACACCTCTATCCTTTATGGAGTGGGATGCTGCTGAGAAATGAAAGGGACGACAATGGAAATCCTATCACAAGGGACACAAATTGTTTCGTAGAAAACTGGTTCCGTATTGTAAAACAGAATATTTTGAATAAAAAACAATCGCAACGGCCTGGGCCAGTCATTAGATTGCTTCACAAGAGCATTCGGGGCCGTTCACGAGAATTCCAAAACAGTATGGAATCTAAGATAACACAAACCCAGGATCTATCCTTGGTGGAATCAGCTGCACTGACTCAGGACGGCATAGATATCCAACGAGAACAATGGAGGCAACAGTCGAAACAGAAAACAAGCAAGTTCTATACCTCACCAAGTAAAATGCCAGGGCCCAAACTCTCAGAAACAAACATTGAAAAGAAATTAAAGCCAAAACAAGGCCAAAAGAGATCTTATACATCGTTAATGCAAGGTGTAAACACAGAAGATATGACCAGCCATGAGGTAGAATGTAATAACAACAGCTGGATGAGGCCTCTACTACAGGCAATA